TTTTTTTTTAATATCTGAAATGATTTTAAAGATAACATTTTAGAAAACTATATGAACGATTTAATTGTTCTCAATGTTTTTATGCCCCGGCTGGTGTTCGGGTAGAGTATCCCTTCAGTTCCTTTATACTAATAGTTGTCACGACATGATCTGTTTATATTTCCATGGGCGTTTGACAAGGTTCCATATCTAAGTTTAGTTCCTAAGGTGAAAGATGAAAAAATAAGAAACTATGCACGTAAATAGAATGGGAACGAGTGTATGCATAGAAAACAGAATAGTGATAAGGATGTAATAACTAGTTTTGCGATCAGTGGATAATCACATCACTCTTATTATATATAATAAGATAATATTCAACATCCTATAAGATAAGAGAGTTACTGTATTCAAGCTAAAAGAGTGCAGGTGGTTAGAAAATGTTTTCTATGAATATCAGACGGCTGGCACTATTTTGATTAATTAAAAAAGTCATCAAAATTCTATACACAGGTATAAACAGGGATATACACAGTTTACAGTGATGAGGAACCACTGTCAATGAGTGATGTACAGTACAGTAATCACAGGTGAGATTGACTGTCAGACAGTAGCAGTTGAATTCTTACTGTTAAAAGACGTGAATTCTAAAACTGTTTCTAACGCAAGGATCACGCTAATTTCTAACCTTTTACTATTCACCAGCTGAATCCCTGGGGAAGAATAAAGTATTTTGAATTGAGTTGAAAACAAATCTTAAATGTTCAATTAAAGTTGAATAAAGTTACTTTATCAGCGGGTCAGTTGAAAATGTGGAGTGGGATTGTACTCCAAATTATTTGCGTGGGAAGGACCATTTCCAAAGCGGAGACGGCCAACTCCAGAATCCAGTCCGGGTTTTAGACGTTTCTAATTAATTAAAAGCCAGAAGCCAGGTGTGATTCATCTCGTATCAGCCGTCAATTGGTCTCCTTTAAAAACGTTCTGGTAGCTGCATGGCGTCCTTAGCTTTATATAGTGGTTTTGCACCTGAAGGAAAATAAGATCGGACTAAGTCGCTTTTTATTAGAAAAGGAATAGCTCAAAAGTAAATGAGAGAAAAGTAATCTGATCTTCATAGTAATTAAGAGAGCAACTCTACTGGATTTTGGAAAGTTCATTCGAGCTTTCAAAGAACACTGAACTGAAAATAAACCAACAATTTGCGTACCGCTAGCAGGGGGGCGAATTACAACGTATCGTTTTTGCTACTCCTTAATCTTGCTACGTATATTTGTAATGCTTGGTCAGGTCCGTTACTCGTGTTTCGACAGGGCTCTTATCTAATGCAGTTTCTTCTCTCCAGCTCCCCAGCCTTCCTGTCCTCTACAACCGTCTGATGGCCGAAGCGCAGAGCTCCGGTGTAGCGTGAAACTGGGGAGATGAGCGGCGAATTCGAAGGTGAGAGAATCCGGCTGGTCTGCACTTTGCTTATCGAGCCCCTCTATAAACTTGAAGATAAGCCTCGTCTTGTACTTGGAGAAATCTCAGGACCAATATGGAGAAGCAATATCGTATTAGGAGTGCGCCCACAGCTCCTTAAACCGAGGGTGGGGAAAATTACCACGGGGAAATGGAGCCTGTTTTTTACTGACTGCTTAACACCGCTTATTTGTGCCTTCATAAAGTGGTGCTACCTTTGTATAGGCTATGGCGAGAGGCTGAAACTTGACTAAAGGTATTTAAACGTGAAACGCTTTCTCTCCTGTTTTCAAGCAGCAGTAGAAGAGAAGCAGCCGGACTCACCTTGCGGTCCGAGGTTACCCACCGTCTCTCCGGCTGTGTGCTGAAAGAGCAGCGCTTCTTCTGCCGGGGCTCCAGACTGCAGACCGCCTGAGCGATGTTCAATACTGGATAAAACAGCCAGCCGAGTTATTCATATGCTCTTTCTACTTCTTCAATTTCTGCAATAAACTTGGATTGTTTCTTAAAGGCTGTGTCCTTGGATTGTTTCTTAAAGGCTGTGTGAATATCGGGGTTGTGTCGGGTACCGTCAGAGCGGTCACGTCGCGTCTGATCTGCTCATTCCTTTAAGGAGCCTACAGACGTTTCCCTTTCCCCTGCAAGTTGTGTAGGGGTACCTGTCAGTCATGAATGTAGCAGTTACCGCCCGAGTTTCTTTCCTGCAAGTCGGCTGTAAAATACAGCTGTTACTTGTAGGTACAGAAAGGGAGGCTGCTTACCATCAAAATGATGAAGAAATAGAATTAAGTATACTCTTAATTCTACAGCCCCTATTGGTAAATGATGATGTGGAAGAACAGCTCTGGCTTTGAGTTCTACGCCTGCCATATCCAGTTCAGAGTGTAGTCCTGCTCTTAACTTCACTCCTGGGGAAACTGAAGACTGGGAAAGTACAAGAGCCTGCAATGTTACTTGTAAAGTGCTTTGTGTAGAAATGTTTAATGCTTCAAAAATTAGAGAGGAAAATGCGAACAAGTCAGGGTCTTAATGTTCTTTCCTGGGGCTGAGCACCTCCTGAGGAAAAATGATCACAACAGTGTAGGAACCAATTGGACTGTCCTCTGAAAGAGCATGACAGTGCTGTAACACAAACTCACAATCCACTGTGCAACAATATAGCTCTGAACACTGTTCCACATTTACATAGGCATTTTAAAGACAGATGCAAGATTTGAGGCAATGTATTATTTAAATAAAAGGAAGAAGCACTCAGGAGCTCTTCAAACATTATCGGTCAGCAACAAATTTAAGTAATGTTTAATGTACATGAAATGGTTGTTTTCCTAACAATTCAATCATTTTCATATCAACATTTGTTAAAAAAAAAACTAAGAATGTGATTTTTTTGACTTCCCTGAAAGAGAAAACCCTGTATCATGACTCCCTGTTAATGATGTAAGAAACTGCTGTTAAGAGTGACCTCTTATACAGGTGAAGCTGCAGACTGTTGACTGTCCAGGTGTCCTCATAATACTCCTAGCTCAGGGACTCAGGGGAAAGGCCTGTGATCGTCAGCACTGCTGAGAATTGAGAAATACAATCATTAATCACTGGAAATAAAATCAATAAATATGAAAACAGATCTCTGTGAGACAAGTCTACTTAGAACTAAAACTTCTGTGTAACCATTTCACATCCATTTCAAATGTAATCAATTGATATTGAACATTATTATAATAAGCATAAAAATCAGTCTGTTTCTCACAAGTAAAGGTTAACAACTTGCCTAACATCCCTCTGTATTACTCAGATCGTTACTGGGGTTCACCAGGCTGGTTGTTCACTGACCCAGAGCACCTACAGTATATTGTATACAGTACATACAGACACACACGTTTAACTACAGATACTAATATAATTCTCAGAGATCAAAACAAGTATTGACAGGTTTTCTGAGGAATGGGGTGTCAGCAGCAGAGAGGGACAGACCGAAGACCACAGGAAATTATAATCAATACAATGCCTATTATTTAATCATTGCCTAGATTAATATTGCTGTAGATAAAGGCATATTATGAGCTCAAATAACTGTGATAAAACAAATTGTCAGACAAACCCAACCCAATTAAAGCAGTCCAGTGATTTCAGCTCTGACAAAGTGGTCCCAAAATTATACCTAATTAGGCTTAAGCAACCAGCCATTAAAATCTCCCAGAATTAATTTGGGGCATCAGTTGATATTAACTCAAGGTATTGAATCTAATAATAAATACATTTTGGAGGCAGTTTTATAATTGGCATTAGGAAGATTATACACAAGAGTTACAAACACCTGCCCAAACTCCTGTGGCAGGTAGCTAGGTCTTAAAGAAACAGGAGTTCCAGATCTGGTGAGTTTAAGGTGTCAGATCAAAATGTCTGTCTTTTACTATATTTGCTTCCAACACATTCTCTTTATGTCCTTTTCCAAATGGAACATCACATACTCACCGAATACAGTCAGATGTAGTTTGTGTGCAGCTTGCCTTCAGTAAGACCTGTACCTTCTACTCTCTGTCTTCTCTGGGTTCAATGTATATGGCCTGCAGGTAGGAGCACACCTGTGTCTTGTTCCACTAGTGACGTCATTGCGGCGATCTATGTTGCTGTACCTCTGTTCTGCCTTCTGTGGTCAAATGTTGCACAGATACTCCTACCTACATTGTGAAGAATAAAGAATTCAGGTCTGAAATAAACCACAATGCACACACTCTTGATTAAAACTGGTGAGAGTCCTCCTATTAGAATGTCACAGATATGGGGATTCCTAAATCTCTCACCTCACTTGCACACTCTTGGTATAAATCTATATCCTGGTCAAGCTACAGTATGCTCAAATTCCAGATATGGAGGAATCTGCGTTTTCTTCATTTTGTGTCTTGTGTGGTGGCTGTATCATCCCCACAGCATGTCTATTGGACTGTTACAATTCTGAATGAATGGCAAAGCCATTATCCCTACAACAGGTATAGTGGACTGTGACAGTTTTACAGCTTTGCATGAATGTCAAAGCCAATAGCTGACAACATTAAATCTGTTTCTTTCAATTGATAACTGCACTAGGTTAAAAATGCAAGCATTTTTTAATCTTTTCAAACATTTCATAGTTTGTAAATGACATACATTTTACTTACAGTTGTATGCAAAAGTTTGGCATCCCCTGGTCAAATCGCATGTATTACACAATCTGAAAAGTGAAAAGAAGTTAAAACAACCTCTGCAGGGTACAAACTTAAACATGACATATTCCTGCACATTTTAATTCACTATTTATTTTAATGATACGATTGGCTGCTCAGCTTATCACGCCCGGCCAATAGGAATTGAATAGATGTCTTCTCTTATTGACCAATAGAAACAGGTATTCAGTATATGAACAACTGACCAATAGCAAATGCAGCTTTCTCCAATAAGAACTCCTCAACTCTTCAGTCGAGAAGCAGATCCTGCCTTGTGAGAACAGCCTTGTAGTTTGATCTTATATTAAGCAAGTCTGACCCTTACTAGGACTGGCACAGAACCTGGAAATCTAGGCTGTTACTATAAGTGATGTGGAGTGGGAGAAACCTGTTGGTGGTGCTCTTCTATATTATCCCATGCAGTAAAAGATCCCATCATTTGGATGATGTTTAAGCAAAGTTCAGAACGATTAAAGTGCAGCAGTGTTAACCCTGGAGTCCTTTATAAGTGTCTGTCTAGAACAACATCCTGGGCTCGTTAATGTTTCACATTTTTAATTTCTCGTTTATTTATCTGGTAGAGGATCTGCCGGTGCATTGTACCAGGTACTGCTGCTTTTCCATGATGGATAAAATGAAACCCTGCCAATATGAAAAATTAACCTACAAAAAAAAAAAAGACTATCTTGAACTTCACTTTTGTGTAGTGGTGAAATGACTGGAGTGGGACAAAATCCTTCTAATCATGAAGATAAAACTATTTGATTCTGAAATGTTCAGGTACAGCTCTGATCTCACACTAACTATCTTCAAGAAATGTCTACATATGTGACATTTTGCAAAACCCCCTGCATTCTGTATTAGTTAAATTACCACATACTTACTTAGCCTGCCTCTAGCTTCCTCCCACAATGCCATGTGTGAACTATACAAAATACCTTAGGAAGAATAGTAACTTTGCCATCTGGCAGACGTAAATTAATTCTAACCATCATTAATAAAATAGATGTACTCCTATCATTGCACTTTGGTAAAAAAACTGTATAAGCTGAAGCTGAGATTCAGCTGGTTCTAAACTTAGATGAGCATTTGAGGACCCGGACTAACCATCCAGCTATTGTGAAATTATGGAGAGTCACAACAAAAAGATGCCCTTGCAAGGTAAGGAGCTCCCATCAGTGAATATATTACAGAACAGCATAACTTTCCCCACTGCTGCTAGTTAAACAGTGACTAGTAAAGCCAAACTGAGGTGCTTTCCCCCTCCTCCCCCAGGATGCAGTATGGAGACTCCCCACTTTTGTCTAGCCTTTTGCAGGAAAGGCATCTTCCAAGCATTGAAAGTTCCTGTGGCAGTTCAGGGTGGGATTGCAGGGCAGGGCCCTTACAAAATTTAGAAATACCAATTAAGCTACTCTGCACCTTTGAGGAAGGAAGCTGCACAGCAGAGGCAGGACCAGGCCAGTTCCACCCAGGAAAACCCATCAGCTCCCAGCTTGTCACCCTAGCTGCCAAGCTGGGGCAGCGCCAATGAACCAGTGCTGCCTTGATCCTGTCAATACTAGCGTTGCAAGCCTCAAGATATTCAATCTGTGCATAACCAAAGCTTCTTGGTTAGTGTAAGGCCTGATTTGTCTGTATCTATCCTACCACTGAAGTTAGATGTTATTTAACTTTTTGTTACTGTTCTGGTTTTAGGTATTGCTTTGTTTATTTTTAAGTGGTGCACACGTGCAAATAAGCATTTCATTGCACTTGTGCACGACAAACTGAGCAGTACATCCATGTTAATTATACTGTAGCTATTTTCCTGCAGGTGGCACTGTTGCCTAAGAAAAGCCACCCCTGAAGATCCCATCAGGTACTTTCCCCCCACTGAGCTGCAGCTCAAAGCAGAGATTTTCCAGTGGTACACAACACCAGAGGACAGTTCATAGAAGGTAATGGCAGTATACAATAGACTTCCAGTGACACCTTCATTTTATTGCACTGACACGATACAGTTATTACAAAATCGGGGTCAAGGACAGGACAGAGGATCGCCATCTTGTAGATTTGTTCCCCTTTACAGATGCAGCGTTGAGGACATCCCTTTCCTGTTGTAGAGCTTCAGTGGCTGGGCTCCCTTCTTCCCCATGTGAACAGGGTGCCAGACAGGGAACAAAAACAACTCTTCATTTTCTTGAAGGGAAAAATGTTACATGACCCAGCACGGTTGGCTATTGTCTCAGGAGAACAGTTCAATACCAAGATCAATCCTACCCTGACCAGGAACACTTAAACTAAAGCCATTATCCAGACTACTTTCAAATTCCACAAACAGCTGAGCCCAGTACAGCAGTGCCTTATCTGGAATCTCCCGACTGTGCAGCAGTGTCAAGCTGAATTTCTACATCTCAAAGAAAACAGGGCTCCTCCTTGTATACACTTTTAAGGGCCTATGAACCTAGTCCCTTGGTATGGGACTCTTGCAGCAAAGATTAGATTCCACAAGTGTGCTGCTAATACCTTGAATTGATCCTTGAAGCCTCAGTTTTGCAGGTAGTGTCAGTCCCATGACTAAGACTCGACTGCCTCCAGAGGCAGTACAGAAGAACTAACTCATCTCTTTACATTATTGAGACACTAAACACCTTGTCTACATTGTATGCAACACCTCAACTCAGCATCACTGACCATGTGTTCTGCAATAGCAGTTTCCTCCACAACTTCATCTTGCCCCATCAGGACATACCCATGAGCTGACACACACACCATCTCAGCACATGGAGCACATGGAGCACCCCATACTTGACATCACTTACTGAGTTCCCAAGCCACAGTACAGCTTGTTAGCCCCATGGATGATCAGATGGCTGTACTAACAGTCTTCTGGTAGAATTTTCCAAGCCATTTATATCTTGTTCTTCTCACCACCACCTACTACTCCAGAGCGACAGAAACATCAACAATACAATTCACAATAATTTTTGTGTTCCTCTCCAACTCCAATCACCAACTAAATGTTTTCCTTCCAGGCTTTACTTTTATAAGCCTCTTCATTAATGACAGAGGCTTGGCTGATTCCATGGAAACCTACCCAAAAGCTCTAAAATCCTCATGTGGAATGCCCTGGTGTGTCTAGCTCAATAATGCACACCTGCTTCCATGCCTGCCTGCTCAGAAGCCATCTTGGCTCAGAGAAACGCCACAGCCTGGACTTGAACCACAATGGCAGGTTGCTACAGAAGCCTTCTAGGGACATTACGAAATTGCTTTAATAACTTCCTTGAACAATATGAAAAGCATGTAAATCTTTCCGCATACCTTAATCTATTTCAGAAACAGATTAAGAGAGAAATATAACGATTTGATTACGGTTATATATATATATTCATTTATACATAAACAGATTTGTTATTTTAAATCTTAAATCACTTCAATACCCAATATTATCTCTCTACCTGAGAAAGGAAGGTTAACACTAACTTCTAACATTTTACTATTGATTATCTGAAACCCTGTGAATAAATAAAGTATTTGGAATTCAATTGAATATAAAATAAATCGTAAATGTCAATTAAAGTTTCAAAAAAATTACTTCATCAATACATCAATACAAATACGTGGATAATAAAGTTTAAAAAACTTACATAAAAGTTTAATTATTTAATGTGAAAATAAGTAAGAGTTTCCAATGTTGCTTTGCAGATGTGTTATAAACTTTCAAGGTCAACTTACTACATAGTGTCCCCATTTTCTGGTTCCTTTTCACATTTCCGAATTTGCTTTGCATAAAACAGATAGTACAACAATGGTCTTGTAATACAGTAAATTACTCATTCTAATATTTGTAAACGTGACTCGAAAGACGGGTCCAATCTTTAAACGTCCCTTGAATTACACATTGCATTGAGACGTGGAAGTCAAAGCCTTGTTTAAAAAACATGGAAGTGTTTGCTATTGTGCGATTTTAAGGGCTAAACCCGCAACTCTGGTGATTACGGTATGATATTGGGGACAAATTCGGAAACGAAAGCAGCACAAACGCTACTTTCAGCAACACAAAGGCAGCGCTAACGAACAAGGTGGGTTTCATCGTTGGTGCCGTTTGTAGGGTGGCCAGCTTCACGGAGCTTTTCAAGCTTTACTCTAAGACAGTTTAATGTTCAATATAATCAGAGCAATACAACGGAATAAATTAAAACCACATCCTGCTATTATTGATTCAAGTCTACTTTTTAAAATGACAGCGAAGACAATATTATGCTAAACGATGAACAGTAGGTTGTAGGGTTTCCATATGCTTTGTTTCGGGCCCCGTGGAAAACCAGGCAACTGGACACAATTACAGTGACTGACCGCTAGAGGGGGCCCCAGACTACAATTCGCTGAGTTTCAGACGCAATTGAACAACAGCCTTTCACGGTTAAGAGCGCTGCATTCTCAGAGCTGTGTGGAATTCACATGTCTTATGAGTTGGTTGTAGAAATGCAAGTGGGGATTCAAGCTTTAGGGGTTTTACTTTGAAAGTGAATGTGTATGATTGCGACGGAGAGCATTTAAGTCCTTGGGAGTCTCTGCAGTCTGCAATTTAAATGGCTGAAAAGAGAAGAAAAGAAACACAACGTTTTGGCTGTGGAGCCTTTATCAGGTGTGAAGGCTAAAGAAGGCACCACAGCTGAAACGATGTGTTTCTTTTCTTCTCTTTTCAGCACGGAATAAACCTTTACTCGGTCCTTTGCAGCCTACGCATGCTGACGCAGCCACCTACTTGAACTGCTGAAATTTAAACTGTAGTTTGGGGTATGGGGAGGCATGTGGAGCTGACATATAGTTTTGGCTCTGAATATTAAAAGGAGAACTTCTAGGCTGTCTACCAGAATCTCTGGCCTACAGTCCCCAGCATGCTGCAAGAAGAGGCTGTTTCCATGGTAGCAAAAACTGGACTTACGTTTGCCAACAGCTGCTGTCGGTCAACCTCAACACTTTTGAAAGCATTATTGTATCACATAGACTACTGATTGATTCTTTGACTTTTGTTCTTATTGGTTTTAATAAAAAGTGTGTTTTAAAAATTAGAGAAGCAGACAGCTTCTATCTGACTAAAAAGGAGCAGAGAGCAACATAATCCCTGGTGATTTGCAAGGGAAATTTCTTTACTCAGTGGTTCAGAGCAAAAGCCAGAACAAAGTTTAAATATATACTGTCTATATTCCGAAAGAGTACTTGTTTTCACTAGGTACAATAAAGAAATAAAAGAATTGTCTTCCACCAGTGCAACTCTCCGTTCCTTCTGGTGCAATTGTCAAATAACTGATAGATTAGCAGTATTTCTAAAATGCAACTGAACAAAAGAAAGCAATTTGAAAGTATGTCTTGTGTGTGCTAGCATAGGGGTAATAGGCTTACAAGCCATGCAGTCATTAAACCGCACCCAGATGAAAGCTGAAATTGGCTGGAAAGACTGTAAGATGGAAAAGCACATGACAAAATAAAGTCCAGAAGGCAAAACTGCTCTTAAGAAGATGGCACCGTAGAGACCCTATCAACAAATTAGCTGCTCTTGTTCATGTATATGTAGAGTACATGAGCATTCAAGTACAGCGCCAGTGTGAAATCCACATACTCTGCAACCAAGAATTGTCATTTCTTTTTCTCGATTTCATCAGTCATTTTGAAAAAAGCTGTGAAAAGATGCCGGAAGGAGGCATCGTTGTGCTTACTGATCTGGATTGGAGGTCTAGTTCAGTTTTGCAAGAAGCTCCGGTGCAAAAGTAGCTCTATTAGGGCAGCAGTGCATTTTCTAAACAAACACTCCAGGTCATGGTATTTCTCAATCTCCTTGTTTCCCTCCAAGATTTGGCAGTTCTTTTAAATACAGTATCCCTCACTTGTCAAATTTTATCTTGAGCACATATCTCCCAGGGCTATTTATGAAGAAATTACAACATTATCACTAGGCAGTCCTATATTATGTCTTCTAAATTGTTATATATGCTAGGTGTCCTGCTGTCTGTGATGTATGGAAGAGTATTATAGATTATCTGCGTGTGCCTGCAGAAGTCAAATTCAGGGTGATGCACACAAGCTCCTCTGGCAAAAGCAGCTACACTGCTAAAGGCCACAGTTACAGAACACAAACGTGAGGAAACCAGTGATACAGGTTTTTAAACCCCCTGAAGGATAACAGTTAACTCTATAGACTTGAAGTTACTTTTTTTTCTAAAAGTCAACCATAATCCCACAGAAAAAGCCATGCAGTATCAATATCATTCAAGTAAAACAAATGCATCTTTATAGGCAGGTACTGTACATCTGATGTACATCAATGTAGGAAATCGTTTACACTGGATAAGCACGCATTCATGTTTTTTTTAATCTATTCTGTATTCATCCTACTAAAATAATAAAAGCTAAAAGGTGGAATACTTTTCATTTGTACAGTATCGATTGCATAAATAAATGTATTTACTTATAGGGGATCAAGAATTCTGCAGGCACCCTATACAATGATTTCAGACTTAATTTGTCAAACTCAAAGCGCTTGTTTTATTACAGATGGAATGCACTTGCTTATCAGAGCCATTTTGATAAAATACTAATCACTGGCAGCTTCAGGAGGCATTTGCTCGATTGCAAAACCTTAAAAAGTACAAAATGTCACCTTTGTAAAACCAAAAACTGCCGTACAGCTGTGTAATACAAGAAGTAAATTGTACTCAAGCTCTGTCCATGAACAAACATGACAGATTAACCACAAATAGCCTCTGGGTTTACGTTTTTCAAGCAGAAAATAAATTGATATGTATCTAATCAATTTATTTGGATGTGCAGAAGGTCGTGTCCTTACAAAATACACCCAGAAAGTTTTTTTTTTTATACATATATAAAGTAACTTGTCCTTTCTTTAAATGGCCTGGAACCTTAAAAAACGTATTTAGCACTGAATTTTTAGGAAATGCTAAACAATTATATTGGGTTTATTGGGAAGTTGTGCAATATGTGTTTTCCAAGCAATTTCTCCTTACATTAGAAGCCCAGAATACCCCAAATGGGGGATATCTTTTCATTCATATACTTTTCTTTATAGCACAATAGGAAAAACAAATTCAAATACCACTCGGACCAGGCATCGGATCATCAATCCATGAAACTGACTAGATCAAAGACTAGGTTTCACAGGTGCTTGGGTTCAGAATGGATAATAATTTGCATGTTATAGTGTGGAGGACATAGTAAGAAGAGTATTGATTCTATCGTTTAGATGATCTTCCATGAAGTGTGCATACAGCGTGTCCTTTTGGAGAAAAAAGTAGAGGAATGGTGAACCTGCAATTGCAATTTCAATGAAATTCAAAAATTAATCATTCTAAAAACTATTTTTAATGTTTTTAATTGTACAGCACACTATATGAAGTCTTTGATGATAATTTTACAGTTGAAAAGTTTGACCTTGTATTGATAGTGTTTTTTTTAATTTTCAGAAATGTATAACATTTGTTCAAAGGTACTGTAAAGCTAAAACAGGGAGAGGCTCCAATTTCCAGACACTTTTTGGTTCCTGTTTCAAAGCTGATTAACAAATAAACAGAAATTAACAAATACATAACAAATAAAAAGACACAAAGGTATTGTGTCAAGAATGCACAGCATTATAATTTTTATACATTTTTAAAATATGTTCCCACAGTAGTGAGTTTTAGGGGTAGATATCTTAAAATGCATTCAAGGGTGCTTCATCTATTCCAAACATGGTTGGTGAACCTAAATGAACTATGCAATTGAGAATATGACATTGTTACTTCTGTTGTAAAAAAGCAATTCTGTTTGAAAAGCATAATTTTAAGATTCAGCAGTCTGATTGAGTAGGTGATGGAAAAATGAATGAGTTAAGAGAGAAGCTCACAGTGATGAATGTAATCGGTTTGCTTTAAGCTTGCACACAGAAAAGTATAGGTCCACTCTTGTTAGGGCACTGTAATTGTTTAATATAGAGACACTCAGGAGGATATGTCTAAATAGTCATTCGGGGTAACGCCATTTTTCATTTAAATGATTAACAGTTGCTTGTTGTGCTCCCACATCATACAACACAAAACATTTTGTAGAAACACAAACATACTGTAAATATCTTATTCTGTGAAGGATTCTGTGTACGTGAGTATGTCATAGTTAAAATTTAACTATGACATACTCAAAATCAATAGATGAGAACGACAATACCGACCATTGTGAACGTGTCTTGTTTCTGAACACGAAAGGAACTGTATTAACAAGCTGAATTGTATAAAAGATCCCAAACAGGCTTATCAAGTCATTCTCTGTGAAGAGCAGGTTTTCTTCTGGTGTTGAATTTACACTTATCAATTAAGATGGCTACGAATCATTTGCTAGCTGTATCTCTCAGGCAGTCTGTTTAGCTTCTGCAAGGGCAACTTTGCATAATGGTCAAGATTTTGATTATCTATGAAGTTAAGGTATCTTCCTATTAGTCATAAAAACTGTGATCCACAGATCTGGGACACATGTGTGCAGCAATAACAATATATATTAAAAACATGAATGTACACACACAGAAAGTGGTAAAGAGAGGATGATACTTATAGTGACAGGGAAACTATAAGAATAATTAGAAGTAAAAGGTTTATTCCACGGTGAAAAGAGAAGAAATAAAACACAACGTTTCGGCTGTCGAGCCTCCATTGGGTGTTTTCGAAAACGTTGTGTTTTCTTTCTCCTCTTTTCAGCATGGAATAAACCTCTTACTTGTTCCTTTGCAGCCTATGCCTGAGGACGCAGCTACCCACCTGAGCTAATGGGAAAAACACGCTCCTCACACGCATTCATTCCTAAAGTTCATCTTCTGCTTCGATTAAAAAAAAATAAACGGCCTCTTTCACAAGGGCGATTTTATGGAGCTAAACCTTTTTGTCCACTTGACTGCTGAAATTAAAAACTGATGCATTCATAAATAAAACCCTATGTACAGTAAAGTCAATAAATGACGGATTATCAATCAGATCCGTATCTTAGTAAGTGTAGCATCAGGCTCGGGAATGGAAATGTCAGGTAGGTTTCAGGGAGTCATTGTGAGGGAGGGCCTTCATTGCCATATTGTAAGACGGTTCATGACACACGGTTCATCAAGTCCACTCCTTATTGCTCCTGCCGACTCTGAATCAACTCCGTGATTAACTGGTAGTTCTCGCTACACATAAGCTTCTCTTAGAGACAAGGAGATTTAATAGACTTTTACTAGGGACAGCCACATCCAAGAATTGAATGCACTGTAAATGCGTGGGATACTTAACAAGAAAACTTTGGCTTTACCTGTTTTGGGTTAATGGGTCGTCTCCTGGCCACAGGACGAGGAGACTCAAACCACGTTCAGACTGAGTGAATCCAGGGGCAGCTCCAAGGCGGAGATGGGGTGGAGGAGTGATGCTGTGAAGGGAGGCATTTGAGTTAAGTTTATGAAGCTGGCTTCATAATGATGGTGATTAGGTGCAGCTGTGTGAGACTGACTTCTCATTGTTATCCCTCCCCAGCGTCAGTTAAAAACTGCCATTTACAATTCTGTTCCCCTCAGAGAAGGACACCAGATCTGATATTGTAGGTGCTGTAGGTTCTGGATTGCAAGAACTGTAAGGTCTCATTAGCATTGAGCCAATTCTCACTGGACTGGAGTGCGGGTGTAGACGTCTGCACGCATGTGGTAAAAATGGAAAATATAAACCTCACGTAACCCCATGAGAAAGAAAATGGCCATGAAAAAGTGTATATATACCTAAAGGCCTTAAATCAACAGAAGTTGTTAAAATGTTTCAGCCTCATCTAAAGTAGTGTACGTTTCACTTTGTGAAAGAAACATGTCCTGACCTACACTAAGAGTCTGAAAGAGCAGAAACTCTTCAGGCCTGAACAGAGAGCATGTGGTTCAATCCTTAAAGTCCTTTTTGACTACGAGCTTCTGGACACAGCCAAGACATGGATCTTTTGGGATCAACAGTGAAACGCGGACCACAGCAAGTAAACTGAAAGGTGAGACAGATTGGCTGGAAGGCCCTTTTGTAACCTCTACGTTCTTGTGTGCTCTTGCTTGTTGTTGTTTTGAAGGTCATGTGGCGTGAACCCAAAATTGGGTGCACAGATAAGCTGGTCCTGTAGACTAGCAGTAGCCCTGGAGTAGTCCCTGCTTTCTCACAGTGACTGCTTGAATCCCACATAAAGCTTCCACTGTGCCATTCAGCTGGATATCGACTGGGAAGCCATTTATTTTAATTTAAAGCCATCTTAATTTGATTCTCAGAGAAGTTATTCATGCATAGCACAAAAGGTAGCCAGCTAGCTAATATTTTAACTTAGCTGTTTTATGCTTATTTTATTATAAACCAAAATCCATAAATACAAAACTACTGGTGTTATTTATTGGAAACAATAATATGCACTAACTCTTATAGTTCTAAATTATTTAAACCTTACCTTTCAATATCCATCTCTTTATATGCTGTACTTCTATGAATTTACAAACAGAAGTGCTGGCACCCCTGTCTGCAATTCATTAATTAACCTCTATTTACTGTTGCAGGATAGGAGCCAATAAAGGAGACTCAAAACTGTGTCAAGGATAAATACCTTTTTTTATTAAACACGATGAGTAATTGCTTCAAAAATAAGTGCCGATCTTTGAGTCCGCAACTGCAACCATTTCCAAAAGAAATTGGATTACGTTTTTATGTGAGTTTTTCAATGGTTAAATCTGTTATTTTAAAATGTTATTTGAAAATTCTATCATAAACCTGCTTTGCTCAGAACTACTAAAAAATAAGATATGTGGGTAATGCAAACATTGAGAGCATATTATATTTAATTTCGTTGTGAGGTCTAATTTGAACAGATCAAAATTGAAGTCAATCTTATTTTAATTAAAGAAGCACTGTTTCAGATAAAGATGGGCTATGTCTTCTGTAATGTTTTTCTATTTCTTCCCATGCACAATATCTTCCCTATCTGCCTTTGGACCAACTTCTTTCTTGACAAAAATTGCTCCAAGTCATTCAAACAAATGTGACCGTTTTGAAGTATGTCGAAATTTGGCTATTTTAGTTGAACAAAATTTGTTTAATAACTGCTAACTGCACAGTTTCTGACTGCTTAGGGCCCACTACAACTCATTCTCAACTTTAGGATCTTATCATTTATAAGGATGTTGAGAATTCAATTGTCTACCAGTTCATAATGCTGAAGTCCTTCTATACATATTCTGTTGATTTCATCGTTGGAACTTGCAGAATAATGACAATTCTGAAAAAGGAACACACTATAGTCCACTGGGATTCACACAAACTCTTACTGCCTTGCTTTCTACATCTTAAACATCCTTGGAATACTGCAATATAGTGAGCTTGGCTCTTAAATTGTGAAAAAAGTCAGCTTTTATCACTCTTGCATTTTGTCTTTTATAATGCTGAAAAGGTTATTTAACACATGGCCCACACTCAGATCAAAGCAAACTTCTTGAATTTTTGACAAAAAAAGATTTGCTCTTTGGCTTTATCCAAACATTCCAACAATTTTTCCAACTCTGTAAATTGGAGTAGTTCTAAACTATAACTTGGCTATCTGCAGAGGGAAAAAAGTTATTCTGGAGAAAAATGTATTTTTTGGAAAATATTAATAAAGTGGTCTTTTTCGTACAGTGTATTGCATGTAGAGAGAACCTTTTTCACACCAGGAGTGTAGTTCTTTTTAAGTCTTCTCTCTAAGACACCTGAAATCATTTTACAGTTTTCCTGAATTGAACAACATTTATCAGACGGTCACTGGGAATCATTCTGCACTTTTTGATACCTACCCAAAAATTGAATTTGCCTTCTGAAATGCTTTATTCTTAATACCAACATTGGAAAAAAGTAGGTTTAGTTATTCATTGTATGTTACATTGACTGGCTGTTCAAAATTAATACTTTTATTTTCCAAAAAGTTTCAAAGAATCACAAAATTCAATCTTATTACATCATGTTCTCAGGCCATTCAGCTCCTAATAAAGTAATGTTAACATTTTTAAAGATTATAAAAAATAAACTGTTGGGAGATGGTCCACAGATGTTTGGCTGTAGGTGTAGCACATTTAAATATGCATTTTTATAGTTTCAGAGAAACCAGATACTCTACAAATTCATAAGAGCCACCAATATGAAAAACTGAAACTACAGATGAATTATAATCACTATTGCTGTTATAAAATTGCAGTTTTTGAAAGTGAATGCATGGGTTTGGTAAATGCATTTGTCACGTTCTAGTCAAAATTAGTTTTTCAGAAGTTTATTAAAGCATGAAAATAATAAATGGTGCAGTTAGGCCAAAGTGTTCTCCTAAGGTCCAGGAATTGCTGAAATAAAGGTAGAAACAGTTTCTTCCCCTACTGCCATGATTACTGGCTAATAAAAGCAACTGTGAATATTATTGCTTTTGCACTAACATTCTGCCAAATGTCAGTCAGGTCCTGAAGCTTAATGTATTCAGTCTAATCCCAGCCACTTTTAACCATTCTATACCAACATAAGACAAACCCAGTCAGGCCTTAAAACAGCCCAGCAGTGTCAGGGTTACCTCACAGATTTAATGAATGACACAGAGATATTTTCTTTGTGGGAATTTTATACAGGATACGATTAAAAAAATAAATGTAGACACAAAAATATAAAAAAAAAGCGAGACCCAAAAAATAAAAAAACACTATAAGACACACGATAGCGACAAAAAAAAAGGACTGTTTTGACATATAATGGGCTTAATGCAATATGCTTGCCTTAAATTACGTATAGTATTTTCAATTGGTCAAAAAGCGTTTTATCATAAATTTAGAATTATAAATCCTCTTCACACTTCAAAATATACATATGCTCACGTTTTTGTAAACATAAATTCGATTCCAGTGTATGTACTTGAACTTTTCAAATGTATCTTAAAGAACACGAGCGGTTATTACAATAATTATATCTGATAAAAATATTAATATCCAGTATAATATCCATTTAGGATTTTCACCTACGGAGCTCAACTCCCTCTCGCATCTGATCTAGAATATAAATGCAAATTATAGAGAAACGTCCTGCCAATCATTTGCATTTAACCAAATGGGTAAAGGTCACTTCACAACCAACATTATCACTGGTATATAATGTCAAAATGTCTCTAAGACAGTTTTAGAGTTTGCGCCCTTGGTATAATGATCATTTATCGCACTGTTCACTGGAAATAAAAAAGACATCTCTCACCTGAACTGAAGACCGGCTCCCCTCCCCCTTCTCTAACTGCACTTTCAAAAATAGGCGGAATGGAAACAGGTAAGGGCAACTAAAATAACATAAAATAAAGTAGTGCACTTTTTTTTTACAGCAATGACACGGGCGTTGTAGCTGCGATGATAATAATTATGCTACTTCTATGGTTGTCGTTGAAGTGTTTTTTAACAATGCGAAGGCTGTCGTTTCGTGAGTGCACACAAATGTTTAATCGTGAAAAAAATGTGGGGAACTCAACTAATGGTATCATTTTTTTTCTGTAAATGACACTGAGCAATCTACTAGCAAAGATGTTCTCAAATGTTTTAAGAATATTACTTAGTATCGCTCACTAAAGAGCTTCTTTTAAATATTTAACAAATACTAAAACGAACTCAAGTGAACTCAAGCTTTGATCTCGCTTGTAACACTGACAATGCTTTCATATAGTAAGAGGTCTTTCGTTCCAGAAGATCCTTATTGTTAATTGAGAAATAATAAAAATACAATTAAACATAAATGGCCTTGCAGAATAGGAAAATGTGAAACACCTAAAGTTTCCGTTATTTAACTCGTCAAAGCACCACAAACAGGACCTGAGCACTCAGCTGACTTAACACCTACGTTTACAAACTTGCCAAAGGAATTGTTAGTCATACTCTTTTGTGATGTCACGGGATTTTGTAAAACAGGAAAATAAAGAAACCAAAATCCTCAAGAGAGAATTGATGAAAAAAAGATGTAAGCTACTTACTAACCAAAAATCACTCAGCTACTGCAAAACGAGCTTCTCGCAGTAACACTTGTATTTCATAGTTCCACCACTTTTAAGTTTTCTTAACCAAGTTTGATTATTTACAGCTTGTAGGGAGAGTTAATGAACAAACAAACAAAAAAAAGTTTTTTTTTTTACTTACGGAATACTACTTGATCCTTAGATGTAAAGTAAAACATCTGCAACATTACTCCTTAAACTTTAAAACATTTATCCGTACAAAAGTGAGAAACAACGAAGTACAGTACATAAGCGTTAAATTAAATTAAGTATATATATATAAATTCGACCCTTTTAATAAACATTTGAATATGTGGATGGGGTGTGGCATTAGAAATAAAATCAGAAAGTTTGTCTTCTTTAATCTTACAATAAGTAAAACATTCAGTATCTTGTATTGCTCTGTTCAGATTTATGATGCTAGGCCCAAAAGTATTGATAATGCTTATATATCCCTACCAATCTTCCAGCTATCATGGGCACTTATCTGTGACCACATTCATAAAGCTAGGGTCCTTTACATAACATTATGTTTTTGCATGCAATTTCCTATCATACATTAAATTGCAAATGCTGTCTGCTCATTGGGGTTTATGCTGCCTAGGAATGTAAAAAAGAGTGCAATTAAAATCACCCTTCTCCACCCTTTTCATTTTTTTTCTAGTTTTTTTTGGGGGGGAACCCTACCAATGATCTCTGACTGATCAGAATAGCGCATTGACGGTTTGTTGTAGTTCAGTGCTGCAAACGGAAGACAACCCATTTTCACTCAGCTTGTCCCAGTGAACTCAAACGATCCAAAAACATCCTGACTGGTGCCCAAACTGGGAGGAACAGTACTAGTTTAAGTGGAGATAAACCACCAGTACTTACAGTCATCTGCATCTTCCTCCATATATATAGGGGACATCAAACTTTTTTTACCCAGTGGTCTGTGCTTGGCAACCCCCATCAATCCCATCTTCATTGCCTTGGTAACAGTTCCTTGGCTCTTGCAAAGATGGAGAGGAAGGACCACATTGTCCATAATGTCATCTTGTCACTCCTTTTCACAACTGGGTTAAAGCCAAAGTACTGTAAAACTCCATGATTTCAATAGGATTTCTCTCTAACACCTGGATCACGGTACGATTAACAAATAGGAACAAACTGACAAGGCAGGCTGTTTCAAAATAATTGTATTCCACCCATCTATTTTCAAACCAATCTATCCAATTCCGGGTCCCTGGGCAGTCGGATCGGCACAAGGCAGGATACACCCTAGACAGGACCCTAGTCCATGCCAGGGCCCACACAGACACACACTCACACCAGGGCCAGTTTTCCTAGATGCCAACTACCATACCAGTACACAGGGGGAACATATGAACTCCACACAGACAACACCCCAGAAACTGAACCCAGGACCCCAGCGCTGTGAGGTAGCTATGCCAACACTTGCATCACTGTGCCTCCCAAGCAGTTTATCCTTGTTTCAACACAAGAGTTACCCCTGTGCAAACATACACCGCTTTCCACAATGCTTTAAATAGGAGCAGAGCCATTTGAAAAATAGTTTAAATAAAATGCAGAGATAATTAATTAAAAAGATAACAACACTTTTGACCCAAATTCTCATGTATTAGTCAGATTCTCATGCATTAATCATGTCTACAACCTGAAAGTGTGCATTGCTTTTGAATTGATCTTTAATGATATATTTCTGAAATTTTGTTTTCATTTTACTTTTCTACTCTTGCTTGGGCCAGACAGTGCATTGCTGTTCCTTTGAAAGAAACGAGTGCTCATGTACCATGTTCTTCCAGAATTAGCCCCTGCTTTGCCAAGGCCTCACACAGATACGTGGCCTTCTGACAATAGATGAACGCAAGGATAATATTGTTGCTTATACAGTAACAGGATCATTCAGTGTCTCTCACTGCAGAAGTCCATCATGAAACACACTAGAATCTACTGCGGTCTAGAGCAAATGGCTGCAGTAGAAGGACAAGTACAGTACCATTCCTGCTATGTTAATATACTAGCATATATTCAGGGTCATACTTCATCGCGCTGCAGAATGTATGAAATAATAATTGGGACATGTTCATTTAGCTCTGTGTCAGTTACCAAACTGCTTCAAGGACTGTTATGGGACGATAAGAACTGACTCTGCCAAAACAGCAGTAATTGAGTTGCTCCTGACTAGACTAGCACAAAAGCCTGGTGAACTAGAATCAGACTGGCCCGTCATGCACTGCCTGAGGCTAGAGTGTCTAAAAAGGGTTCGAAAACACAAGATGTTTCTGAGGGGTAGATGCAGTGGTACCTTTCGGTGTGTATTGAGCTCAATAAAGCTTGAATCTGCGCCTGAAAAGGCTGTTTCGTGTTCCACTGTTAAAGAATTTCCCACAACAGCAGAGCATGAGTTTGGAGCTCTCTCCAGAAAGGGGCCCTCCTACAGAGGTGACATTGAGCAAGCTAGTGGCTGAGTCATGGAAGATACAGAACAGACAGCAATCGGGATGGAGGGGAGTTAGAGAAGGACTTCATTTTAAAATCGCAGAGACGTTATTTTAACACATTTTTCTTAATCTAGGAGCAACTAGAAACTGTGACAGCTGGCAAGCTTTTTTCTTACAGTGCTTCAATAAAGTAGTAAGGATTTCCTAAGCTGAGACCGATGACCTACCACTGCAGCTCAAGATTTGATCTGTCAAAAGAAGTCAGTGAGGAAAAATTCTGGTCACTGAGATGGCGTTCTCTGCTTGACGTGACCTACAGTATAACTTCATTTAAAACAAACAAATCAGACCAATGGGACCAAAGGAAACCATATTAAAACCTTCTTGGACCTGGGATATCTGACTTACAAGATCATTACGAAGAATTTTAAGGCCTCTGCTTAGAGAAGACAAGAGCTATGTTAGTCTGTTTGCTGCAAAGCAACAATTCTAGATTGGTAAGGGAAACAGGAGCAGAAAATACAAACCTTAACACTAAACCCTCAATTTAGTTACTTTCCTATCTTTAAAACAAAGGCAACGCCATGCCTCAGGCACTTCTGTATCTGTGCTCTAATAAATTACAAGTGTGCAGTTACAAATTCTGCATAGGAGGATTGTCGTCTTAGAGTGGTAATTGTTGGTATAATGACAAATGGTCCTCTTTCAGCCCTGCAAGCGGATCAAATCCACCAGCATTATATTCAGGTTCATCTCTCACCTTTTTGTTGGATTTGGTGAGATCCATACGCGGTCCAGTTGATCCAAAGCGGAAGGAGAGCCTGTATTGGCATTTGTGGACCTGTGGTTAATTGCCATTTATTCCGGATACACATCTCCCTTTGTTTTCCCAACGTACGGACCTCCGGGTGAGCTTATCCCAGATCAAATTTGAATAAAAACCTCCCATTTGCAGCCTGGGTGAAATCAGCAGGTGTTGATGAATCTAACAGACTTGCAGGAAAACAATCAATTATTGTCTTTGTTTGTCAGAAAAAGGAAAATAGAAAAAATGTAAAACTGTAAATACTGGAAAAATCAGATAGCTTTATGCCATTAATGATACAGAGGCCTGCTATTCTGACACAGTAAATGAAGCAAAGGTCAGGAATTATTAAGCCCATTAGTAAGGCCTATTTTCTATCATATAAGGGACAGAACATTACGGAAACATTTTGGGACAAATGTATCACATACATTAGACATTATGTAAATAACAGCTGTTTATATGAAGTTCTGTTGGATACAGCGCAGTCTTGTAATATGGCATGTTTGAGCTAATTCTATTATTTTTTATTTATTATATATGGCTCCCCTGTTCCCCTGACTCTGTCCACCTGTTCATCACCCAACCTTATCTACATACTGTGGGTGACAAGGCCTCCTCTTACCATGTCCCAGACCTCTGGAATTTTATCTTTCAAATCCGGCCTTAAAACCTTCTTCTTCAGAAAGGCTTTTACTTAACTGGTTCCTAAATGGTTGTATCTTCTTCTGCTTTCCAAACCCTTGTTTTTATTGTGCTAATTGTATGAAATCCTCTCCTTTTCAACGTTCTTTATTCCCATCGTAAAGCACATTGAGAACCCACTTTAACAGGCCCTATAGAAAATAAAGATGATTATTTATTATTAGTGAACTGAAGGAAAGATTGAAAATCAGCAGTGCAGAATGATCCGTAAGGACCTGCCGAAACACACATCAGAAGAAATATAAACATGCGAATGTGTTTTATTGGGGAAAAAGAGAGCTCCCACCTGTTTTCTTCTGATCCCTTGATTCTCTTTATTTCTTGTCTCCTTCTGACAGCCCTTCAAAGGCTTCAGTTGTGTGGTATCCCTTGAGTCCCTAGGAAATGATAAGATAAGGCAGTTGCTGGACCAAGCAATTCACGAGGCAGCTAAAGACAGAACAATAACGTGAGGGAATGATGGGTAGGCAGGTTCCAGCATCTCAAAGCGTCAGGAGTTGAAGACTGATGTGCAGTTCTACAAGGGATTTGCAGAGCTTTGCATTCTAACAGTACCATATTTTAGCTGAATTTAAATGTCTAGTATAATCGAAAATACAGTATTGAGCCATTTATTTGGCAAAATCACATGAATGGAAAATTGGGTTCAGTTAACCAGCCCAGCATTGCATATTTCAAGCCATTTGTAGCATCTTCTAATGAGAAAATTAGGGCTACAGACTTGAAGGTAGCTGTGAAGATGTTTTACAGTTTGTTGCCAGTGTAATAGCTCTTTGTATCAGGATACCACCGTTAAACACATTTTCAATTTCATCATTTTCCCGCCAAGCAAAATGGCAAACCAAATGCTTTGTATGACGCTGAGAAAGGTTTAGTTATTTGCTAAATTACCCCGATGAAAAGCTATTAGGATTTACATATAATTTACAAGGGTAGCCCAGGGTAGACTATTGGCACCAGTCAAAAATTGACATTAGCAATAAAACAGTACAAAACAGGCAAATCAATGTTGTGTTCATAAAAGCAGTGCTGAAACTGAATGGTAGTTTAGGTACTGCGACATGTTTTCGTTTTTTTCTGTGTTCAGGAAGGTATTGATGCTTTACATAGGTAGCTCTGTCAGCAAACGTAGGCTGCAAAGGAACAGATAAAGATTTATTTCATGCTGAAAGGAAATGAAAAGAGACACAACTTTTGACTGCCTTCTTCAGGTGGGACATCTGACGCCTAAAGAAGGCTCCACAGCCGAAATGCCGTTGTCTATTTCCTTTTCCTTTCAGCATGGAATAAACCTTTACTTGTTCCCAAATGAGTCATTTACTGTATGCATTTTGTTCCAATAATGGCAAGAGATTAAATGATCATATGGTGTGCGTTGAGCTATGGAATGTTCCAGAAATGGGGGAGGTGGAAATTTCTTTTGTGGGCAGTCCTTGCCTTAGGAACAAGGAATGCTGCAACACAAATTAAAAAAATAAGCGTCTGTTTACCTATAATAAGTGTTCACAAATAAGCTCCACAAATAACTCACATTGATGTCATTTTTTAGGGTTGTAATAGGGCCTTCAGATTACACAGAAAAACTGATATATACTGTATATAAATATCAAACTTTGGTTTTGTATTAAGGGACATATTTTGCAGCAGATACTATGTTAGCATGTACAGTACATAACAAACTTCAGCAATTTCACAAAGGACAAGAAAATCTGTGAGTGGCTGCCAAAATCTTAGCAGTCATTGTAAGGGGTTCTTTCAGGCTACAAAGCAGTACATAATTCTCCCAGGATATAATATACTGTAGTAATTAAATGGAAACGGGCAGTTATATGAAGGACTAATCTTCTTTTACTTTGGGCTGCATGAATCATTCATGGCTCTTCTATTCCATACTGTCACAAGTCATAAGGTGATGACTTCTAAGGTAAAAAAATAATTTATCACATGCAAAAGTATGGATTTTATTTTTCATGACAGACTTTTGATATGTTCAGTCAATCCCCTGGTTCATGTACTTTTATTGTCTTATTACCAAATGCTTGGTCACTCTCGTATACAATACCCCTCAGAAAAATTTAATTGCATTTTCAGGAGTACCTACAAGTCAATCTGTGTGCTTACATGGAGATAAACAGACAGACACATTACCCCTGGTAGGTAGCAGTACTGTGCAGCCTCCTGTATTTAGATTGTTAATGATACAGCAGACCTCAGACTGTTTAAATGTCAAAACTTCAGATTTATTTTCATTCCCTCTGCAAAATGTATCATTGGTATAATATATTCTTCATTGATTTGACTGACACTTTTATCCACAGCAATTTACACAAATACCTCTTTATACAGCTGGGCATTTTTACTGCAGAAATCAGAGTAAAGTACAGTATGCAGCTCCACAGTACACCAGCTTCGGTGTGTTCTACCAGGAATTCAGACCCCTTGGCCCTGGCCTTCCAGTTATACAGGTCCAAAGCTCCAATCCCTCCTCCGCACAGCTGCTAAAGTATTACCCCAGAGTTTCAAAACACAAACGTAGAGACTGAACCGAAATTTGCATAACCCGAGTTGAATAATTAGAATTACAAGCCATTACAAAATCGTCTCAGTGAGTACGGACCAGCCCTGCACTAAGTGCAGTGTTATTGGCTTCAACCTGCCTGGCAGAAAGGGTGACACATGCCCCACACCCTCTCTCTCTGTCCGCGGTAAGCAGCCGCAGCTGCTGTAGTGATGGCAGAAAAGCTGTTGAGGGGAGGAAAGACTGATTGTAGTCATGGGTCACTGTGAGATGAAGTCTAAGGCCTTCCTGTCAGACTTTCTGCATTTTGTGTTCTGCAAAAAGGTGCTCCGATTTCACCTTATTTTACAACGCACATGTTCATATTTCAGAGGCCGCTGTAGCCTTCACAAATATGAGAGATATCCTCAGTCTAAGGTTCAGCTTCCTTTCTTTTAACTGGCTGCCTATTGCACAGAGACCTTTACTGCTCTTTTGAGTCAGTGTTACACATGTCACTTGTTCAGAACCGTCATACACTGACATCATCTGAGTTTTCAGAAACATTACACATGAGCAAAAACCGTCAAATGCAGGAAGTGTCAATTGAAAATAGGAAACAAAAAAGAAACACAGGCATGAGGAGAGGCCATTTGACTCATCCAGTTGGTAGTCAGGGGCAAATGATCCAGGGATCTGATCAGGCCACGTTTGAAGAAGCCAGGGTATCGACTTCAAACATGGCTGGGAAGCCCGTCTCATACTTCCACAATCCTAGGGTAGGATTTTGATGAGCCCGCTTTCAAGAGACGTAGTAATTATATCTGTGAAAACAACTTTGATGTAGCGTTGTAACACCTTTTGCTCAAAACGAACGATACACATGGAGTGATCCTCACCTTCTTACAGTGTGCTCTGTGAGATTTTATAAAGAGCAACTTAATCTGTTTAGGTTTTGACTAACAGAAAAAGATAACCAAATATGCCCCCCCTATTTGGATATGAGGTTTTATTTGCAATTATTTTGTTTAAAATGGCTAGGTCTCTGTGTATTAAGAGGACAGTTTCATTTCCCAGCATGACGGTCTCCTCTGCAGACAGGTGGTTTGGTTGATATTTCTTTTCTTGGACTATTTTCTTGCTTTACACCTTCTTGTACTCCACTATCAAGAATAATGGTAAGACCTCTTTTGCTCATATGTTTGATTTTACAGTAGCCGGCCTCTGTGAATACATAGCCTGTTCTCTGTTAATAGCTGCAGTTTTTTCAACGGAGTGATATTGTTATTCTAAGAGTTATTTAACGATAAATGAAAATGCGACAACGCAAAGGTTACTAATACTGAAATTTCTGTTTTCTTCTATTTGCCCCACCCTGTGTGTGCCTGGTCAAGCTCCAGCTGTTTAACCCTCTGAGGATAAAACAGTTACTGCGGATGTTCCGATGTGTGACTCTTCGCTTAACTGTTTATTTTGTTCTTATTTTAGAAGTTTGTTGATACATTGAAAAGCTGGTGAAGCTTCCCCACTTCCTCTTACTTTGAAAAAGGTGTTTCTCATAATGTAGAGAGGGTATACAAGCACAGAAAAATCTGGAAGCATAGTTACATTGACTGCTTCTGTTTACTACTATTATTATTATTAACAATATTATTCATCTTTACTAATCTACTCAAAGTAAATTGAATGTAGGCAAAAAGACGACCAAGAAACAACCAGCTTTCCTTTCTAACAATATACTGTACATGTAATCCTACAGGCTAGAATACCTCTGTGTTGTTTAGAATGTATACAGTATAAGGCGCGATGGAAAAAATGGAAAAGAACATCTTTGGCTTTAAAAATTGTATGCGCACATTAGCAACTGATCCCTCAAATGTAATTAAAATGCCAAGAATTAAAATTGAGCCTTTTTTGTGAAACCGAGTCTTTTGCATCCTCCGTCTGTAAATGAGTGAAAATCATGTGTGAAAAAAAGGGAAAAATCAATAATGTGCACAAAAATACACATCCACCGTAATCCCATGAATACGGGATTTTTTAACCACAATGGTCTGTGCTGTGCAAAGGATATCCTGACAAAAAGCTACTATGCTATATGCTATATGCTATATGCTATATGCTATATGCTATATGCTATATGCTATATGCTATATGCTATATTTCTGTTTTTTCTCTCACAATGCCACCCTTTTTTGCAGAATATTCCAAAAGAGTCTATCAGGGGGTCAGAGTCAAACATACCGTGAAGGACCTGCTGGCAGAGAAAAGATCGAGACAGACCAACGTGCCCAGGTTCAATGTGAGTTGACGGACCTCTGCTGCTGTTATTTACCTCTGCATAAATGAACTTTACCTTTATCAAACTTTATTATTCTTTTTCATTCCCTTTCCAACCTTTTTTCTTTCTACAGTACCTTGTCCTCAGTGCACAACAATAGTTAAGTACCAGAGCAGGACCGATGTGCAGAATGTGTTGTCCTAATCCTGCTTGACAATTCTGTGCAAAAAAGTGCTGCTGTATTTACAATCCTGATCACTTTTATAAGCTCATGGCACAAACGGATGAAAAGGACATTCTCTATGATCCTTTACTTATGGAAATGGGCATAAACATGTGCACATATGCAAACGAATACATGTATTATACCAAATGCCAGCTCATGAGAAAGAAGAAAAGAGTTTAAAACAAACATGAAACAATTTCTGAGATCCATTGAAGTCAGACACAAAGATGCCCATAGAGATGGTCATGAACCCCAGGATTGGCAGGCTGTGTTCTTGTCCTTGTGGTCTGGACAGATAAGCTATGCAAAAGCCGCCACTGCACACCTGTTGAGTCACATTGTTCTCTTTGCAAAGCACTGACAAGTTAGGTATTGTTGCAGAAGGCAGCGTGAGCCCAGTTCTGGAACACAGTTTTTCAGCCTTCTACTTGCACACACTGAGAATAACTTTGATCTGGCAGCTTCCAGTCAGCACACGATTTCTAATAGTCAGCTGCATTTTGTCAGTCTGAGAAGAGCAGTATTGTAAAAGATCATCTGCTTGTTTGCGTGTGGGTTGTTTGACTAATGCACATTTTGACTTTTAGTTTTCAAGTGTAAAAAAAGCAGTCATGTATATAAGTATGCATAGTTGCAGAGTGTAGACGAAAATATTTAATAAAACACTGAATTTCGTGCAGTCCTATCTTCGTAAAATATTTTCAGCATCTTGTCCTGTTGTTCTCCCAAAGAACAATAAAGATAGCCATGCACAGTTACAGATTGGATGGGTAATTAAAAAGAAAAGGTTTATATTTTAATTCCATGTCTGTGTAATTTGAAATCAGAAAGTAATTCCCCAGACACACGTCATAATTCTATAGGTAGACATTGCATGTCCATTGCTAGAATTAGTTATTCAAATTGTAAAAATGCATTCAAGGGTAAGACATGTTTTGTCAATATGACCTGAAATCATCTGCAGTTTAACAAGCTTTGTTAATGAAAAGACGCTCATTGTTTCCTGTACTATTTCTTTTGAGTTTTTAGTTAATCTCACACTGAAGTGAGCTTTATCATAGATTGACCACAAATTGGTCTTTCAAGTTCAGACCTGTGAAAAGTCACTGAGACACTCTTTGTCACCGTTATTGAAAGAACCCCACTGAAAAGCTACACAAAAAATAAGCATACAAAATCTTCCCACCACCAAACTTAAAAGACAACCCAAGCAATTTGCATTTACTTTATGGGACAAAAAAGCATATGTCCTTTTGTATGTAGACATTTTAATAACTATAGCACACACACACAAATATAATAAACAGGTGTGGCCTTTTTAGATTGCTTTCTAGTAGGTGATTTACCTCAAGCATATAGTAATTTTGATGCTAATTAATACGAAGTAATTATTTCAGAAAAAAATAATTTATGGAATGGATGTTAAAATGCGAAAGAACTCTCCATGATATAGTGTGGAACTTCATCAATAAATAACTGTTTGACAAGGGCTATTTTATCCGGTTTTCCATTCATTTATTGCGAACTAAAACTATTTTGCCAAAAGGTGCCTGTAACCTGGCAAGATTAAATAAAAAACCTGGACTTTTTTCTATGCACGTCATTACTGCTGGGACATGGTGCGGACTTCCCACATGGAAATCAGCTGCCAAGAACAAATCCATCAAAAAGAAAGGAAAGAAAGGGATATGGGCATTCAGAAATGTCACAAAAATCCCACGGCTGTCTAAAAACTGTTGTCTCACGCAAAAACACCGCTTTGCGACTTTTACCCTTCAGACATAAGTTATTTTCATCGTACCTCAGTGAGTATCGATCAGATTTGCATACAACATAAAACTTCTCCGTCATGGCCTTATTATGCCGAATATAAACTGTATAAAAAATAAGTGATGATAATCATTTGTCAGAGCGTTTGGACCCACGATGTTCTTAATTAGGCGAAGCATAATCATTGAGCTTGATAAACACTGTCCACCGCAACGACAAGCCTTTAGTTCTACCCTGAAAACGAAACGCGGCTGCAAGAAATCAATTTCTTGCTCTGGCTACTAAAATACAGCTCTGGTTTGGACGACAGTGTGGGCAATACTCATTTGCAGGCTACCAATTGGCTATAAAACACAAAAAAGTGAGAAAGGGATACTGTAATATTTCCATGAACCCGCTGTTCACATTATTAATTATGACAACACCTTCTTGCCTTATAACGAGCTTCACAGATAACGCTTTCCTGCAGATCTGCAGTGACAAATAGTTCCTTGTGGCTTTAAGCCCTGGCAGCGCACATTACACTCTCATGCAAAGGGCTGGGAGGTGGACGCCTCGGTTTTATCGGTTCCGACAATCAGCTGCTGTGTTGCTGGGTGAACGTATTAGTTTTTAACAACCTGATTTCCATATGGAGCCTTCAGAAAAGCAGTGAGGCATGCACGGTCTGCATGGGGAAGTCTCAGCATTGGCAAATTACATTCAAATTGAGTCCTCAAAATTTGCTTCCCCTCCAGCCAGGCCTGCCTTGATATCAGCTCTTTCATGTTTGCAATATGCAAACCCTGGAGAGCTCATCCCCTCTTTAGCAGGGAGGGATGCTCTGGAAGCACGAAGTTGCAGACAGGGCACAACGGCAGCCTCGGGATAAGCGCCCAGCTTTCTGCGGCTTCCAGACATAAATTTAAAAACAAAGTGCAGACCCTCTCCTATCTCTGCTTCTTATTGTCCTGGAAATTAGGGATAACGAGTCATGGAATAACCCCAAATGGATGCAGAATTACCCAGCTGACACCACTAACACAGAAACAGGTGTTTTTTTTATCTTTGCAAAGAGTACTTTGCATATCCCACTGCAGAGAAATGACTCCCTTGGTGTCCGTGCGCTAATGCCCTTCATGATGGCAAGACGTGAGGGAATGGTTTGCCTGTTGATTCCTGTTGGGCTCTTTTTTTTACAAAGGTTAATTAACAAAACCACACTGTTAACAGATGCCGGCTGAAAAATGTAGCACTTGGCCAAACTATGAAACCCGAATACTTTAATCCTCGCACGGTACGGGTGTCATTTTGATAAAGCAATACTAAGTAATAAAGGAAAAAGTTCCTGTGGCTACTTTGTCCATCCGTTGATCCGTTTCTAACGGCTTCATCCAATTCAGGGTGACGGGGGAGGGTGAGCCAGAGCCTATCCTGGCAAGCGACAGAGCACAAGGCAGGGCACACACAGACACAAACACCCCCCCAGCCAGGGCCAACTTTCCAGAAGCCAATTAACCTGCCAGCATGTCTTTGGACTGTGGGAGGAAACTGGAGGACCCAGAGGAAACCCGAGTGAACACAGGGAGAAAATACAGGTGCCACGAAAGTAGCGGCCCAGGAATTGAACCCAGGACCCCAGTGCCGAGAGGCACAACGCCACCTCACGTCTTCTTTATCGTTGGACGTAACTCATTTGGCGAAACGTACGGAATTCGGCGGCTGATGAAACCAGGATAAATGAGGACAACAGTCTTTGCTGTTTGTTTCCACTGTGCTGTTGTCAGCAGGGAATCCTAATGTCTAAAAGCTTAGGTTCAGGGTCACAAACGGGCTCAGGTGAGGGTGAAATCCATAGAATCACTCGAGAGTGTGTCAGTGGTACCACTCACGACCCCCCCCCTCTCCCAGCTTTGGACTGTCTTCGCCTAGAGGAAACATCAATTGGCTTGGAATTACCCAGCTAATGTCTTTCAGTTAATGTGTCCCGCACACTTTCCCGCCCAATCTGACCTGCAAGATTCAAGCTTTAAGAAGAAGGGTATGAAATCCTTTGAGACAAATCTATGGGGGCATCCAGTGTTACAATCCAAGGAATGAGATCTCGTCAGACCTCAGAAGCTATGCATGTGTGGGTCTGGTCAGTCCCCAGATAGGAAATGTAGGTTGCTGCTGTAAATAAACCACACGGTTCAAATTTCCATCTGGACCGGGATTTCCATAGCCGTGCTCTGAAATAGGACATTCCAGTGTGAGCTTCTTTACTTTGGACCCAACATTAACTCGATGTCTTGACTGCCTGGTCATTAAAGATTACAGAGTACTGTTTCTGAGAAGAAGGATTGTTATTACTCATGTCCTGGTTAAATTTCTACTTTGGGCTCGCACGTGCTGGCCTCCCAAAAGCTTTCCCCTTTTATCCAGTTAAAGAGATTTCTCTCTTTTTTCCCACCTGATCTCCTGTGTAGTGTGGGTGTTGGCGCAGAATTGCTGCTGCTTGTCACCAGTGTGGGTGCTGCCCTCCAGTGATGGCAGAGAAGTGTGTTCCCTCTTATATCTGATTCACTCAGGGATCCTCTGGAATAAAAAGTGCTTACTTATTTGAAAACATGTACCTATTCATCATGTTGAGAAGGATCGGCAGCATTTTCTCCTTTGTGTGAGCTGAGCTGAACAAAGCTGGAGCTGAAGAGATGTTATTGTACCTGTTTGAATTTCTCTAATTATTTTTCAGGGCGGAGCAAATTCTTCACAGCCTGCTTTTGTCCAAATGTCAGGTAAGCCTTTGAAAGCTTTTAGCAAAACAGGCATTTGTTCCTATGTCCAGTTGTTGAGTTATTTGCACATTTTTGCTTCCATACAAATGAAATTACAAAATAACGCTTAACTTGCTAAGCTCAAATAGCTGACAGGTAAGGTAAGA